AGTGCCAGGGACCCAGGTTCAATTCCACCTTGGGCAACTGTCCATACACAAACTCCACATTCTCTCCATGTCTGCGTGGGTTTCTGGTTTCCTCCCAGTCCAAAGATGTGCAGGTTTGGTGGATTAGCCATGGGAAGTGAAAGGCTACAGGGATAGGACAGGTCTGGGTGGGAAACTCTTGAGGGTCAGCGTGGACTCGATGGGCCAAGAGGCCTGCTTCCACACTGTAGGGATTCTATGACACTATGAAAACAACCCCCAAGGAAAAGACTGAGCCTGCATTTATTTTACATGTTGTTATAACATTCCAAATTATTTTAGGATAATTATTTTCTAGTGTCAATGTGACAATTTGTTAATAGCAAAATCTCAAACTCAGATAAGGGACCAGTTAATCTCCAATGAGAAAGAGGCACCAGAACTCTAGTTGCTCATCCATCCAGGCAATGGCATAATGTATTAAGGACAATACAACATCCTTCAAGCATACCATTCAAAATTAGGTTCTAATATAGTAATGAGACTTGAACTCAAGTCTGCAGGTGGAGATGCATCAAACTAAACCTGTACTTGGTCAGGCCAATTTTTCTTTAAAAATCTACTCTAGCATGGTAAAACCAAGTTACTTCAGTCACAGATAATACACCAGCAGACAGCATCTCTTCTTACTTGAACTCTGCTCTCTGAAAGAGCTTCTAGTATTGAGGACAAAGCCAGTTACACAACTGATACAAAAAGTATAACTGTGTTCAGCTCTGTTATTAAAATTTGCTTTCAGATTGTCCACATTTCACACTAGTCCTTGTTAGCTTCTGATGTGCAGCTCTTTGTTTGGTCATTACAGCAGGACCTTAAGTCCCAGTTAAGGGCAGCATGGTGGCTCAGTGGTTAACACTGCTGCCTCAGTGCTGGCAACGTGGGTTCAATTCCATCCTCAGACGACTGCGTGGAGTTTGCACACTCTCCGTGTGTGTGGGGGTTTCCTCCAGGTCTCCGGTTTCCTTCCACAATCCAGGATGTGCAGGTTAGGTAAACTGGCCATGCTAAATTGCCCAGAGTGTTCAGGGATGTGTAGATTAGGTGGGTTACAGGGGGATGGGTCTGGGTGGGATGCTCCGAGGTTCGATGTGGACTTGTTGGGCCAAAGGGCCTGTTTCTACACTGTAGGGACTCTATGGAATATAAACCTTCCTACCACCCAATCATAGCAAATCACATTAATATTTACACTTCAGAAACAGAAGTTGTAATAGCTAAAGATTCTTTCCAAAAGCTTAGAGAATAGCAACAGGAATGTCTGGGAGCTCACTCAACCATATATTGGAATTTTCATTTTACCACTGAAAGAACGTAGAAACTGCTGCAATAAACATCTTTATTAAAAATCAAGGGGCTACCTTTTATCGTAATCTTCTTGCTTCACGCTCAGATTCCAAAAGTGTGAGTACATCTCCCTCACGGACTGGCCCTTTCACATTTCGAATGATGGAACGGTTGCTGTCATCCATAAATTCCACGCGGACCTACAGATAAATCAAACAATTAAAATGGAGGAACTGACTCAGCAGCAACACAACAAAATTCTTTGGTCATGCCATAATGGCAATTAACTGGAGAATGCAGGAAGACAGCTGTACATTAAAACCCATTTAGAGCTTGCTGCCAGGAGTTATCACCCAGTGGGACTCAAATTCCTGGATACACTGCAACGATGTTAACCAGTTGACAAAACCCAGTGGCCCATTAGAGGGACCCTCACTGTTGCAGTTCTTGCTTCTAAGATGTTCACAACATGCAACACATCCAACTTCAGGCCAATTCACATGAACTTTAATGCAGGACTCTTGGTTTAACCTGTGCCTGAAGACAAATCTATTGTGGAAAATATCTTTTTGAACTTTGATTTCAAAATACAGGCAGTTGTTTGTGGGTTAATCCTGTGAAGTTTGCTTTTTAAGAAAAGGTTAAAAGTCACAGACAACCTAAATACACCATTTCTGAGAAGACATGACATCAGGCATCTGACCAGCCTGTGGTGTTAATGGATGAAATAGTTACACTACAGAGTTTGACAGAGAGTAACTACATTAAGGCAATTAGTTTATTTTGAACTTAACAAGAAAAGGCTCAAAATTTTAGCCTTTTCCTGTTCATGTTTTCCATGTTGTTTATTATACTTCTAGTAGAATCATAAAATAGGTTGAAAGTTCACTTCTTATTAAAACCCAAGTTTCTTCTACATATAGCTATTTCCTTTTTGCCAAATAAGTTTGCATTGTTATTAAAGAACATCTGTGACAAATGACTATTAGCTACAAAAATTAAACTTACCCAAATCAGTTCTCATTCTGAGACTTGATTTTAGCCATTATCATCCTCAGTTGGAATCATGTCATCATACAAGTCTTTTTGGGGGTTACAGACAGTCTCACATTAAAGAAATCACTGATACTGCATAACAGATTCCTTACCTGAGTACATTGTCCCTGTGAGCCAGTCCTTCCAAGAACTTTGGTAACCTATGACCAAAAAGATCACCTTAGCAAGTTGCTAGCTGAGAGCTATGCATATGTCAAGAATCTGAACTCCCATGGTGCAGAAAGAGACCATTTGGTCCATTGAGCCTGCACAACCATCGGAAGAGCACCCTACCCAGACCCAACCCATCCCCATAACCCTGCATTTACCATGGCAAACCCACTTGGGCTGCACACCCCTGGACACTACAGGCAATTTACTATGGCCAATCCACCTAACCTGCACATATTCAGACTGTGGGAGGAAACTGAAGCACCTGGCAGGAACCCATGCAGATACAGTGACAATGTACAAACTTCAGATAGTCACCCAAGGCCGGGATCATACCCAGGTCCATGGCACTGAGGCAGCAGTGCTAACCACTGAACCACATCACTATCCATTTGACGTACACAATCAATAGGCCCACTCAGGCAGTAGATTTAGACGGACCACTATCAGAACAGAATACAAAAAATTTAATTAGTTTAGAAAGTCTTTCAACAATCCAGCTTCAACATCAGTATATCACTCCGCCACCGCTCTAACCTTACCCTGGCAGAGAGGCATCAACTAACTTTATTGCATTTACTCAAACCTTTTCTTCAAAAGCTCACAACCTCAACTTCTCAAGTCACCTCCACATTCTCATATACAGCCATTAATGAATGTAGCAATGGTACATATACAAGTGTCAGTCTACCAGGCCAGACAAGCCATGACACTTGGGAAGTTGCACCAGCTATATCACAATCCCCAGTTTCAGTTTTTTTTTGTTTAGAATTTTATTGGCCTGGAGTATTGAAAGTGCTATTATTTTTAGACAATAACTTCATTTGAGAATTAATTTGATATAGAGCCTAAGATCATGGCATTTGCAACTTGAAATAACCAATTTTCTAGTGTAACAACAGAAAATTGGAACAGCAGACAATTTTGCCCCTCAAGCCCACTTCCCCATTCAAGAAGACAGCCAGTGTTCCATTTGCTTTCAAATTCAACATTCCTTTTGACCATTGATCCACTTGCACTAAGGATCATCTTAAAAAACAGTGACCACTAGCTTCTGAGGCAGGGTGTTCCAAAGTTACAAGAGAAAAAACCTTGTCTAGAAAGGACAAGAACGCATCTATTTTGTCAAACCAGAATCTTGTATAGTCTAATGCAGCAGAAACCAGCTTGACATATCCTATAACACCACCCACTTATTCCAGGTAACAGTCTTATAAACCTCCTCAGAATGGTCTCCAATGCTTTTACATCATTAAACAAGGCAAAACTGCCTATTAGTCAAGACGTGGTTGCACACAGACCCCTATAAGATTCTACTGGTCACACACTGCTAGTTATAAAAATCTCAATTATACATACTGTTATTCTTTCAAAAATCTGCCATCCATAATGTGACCCTTATACCATGTGTTATTGTCTACAACCCTTACCAAACACTTTTATACACTGACAACATAAATCCAGCCTGCAGTTTCTATCAAACCTAAATTACAAGAATATTAGAAACTTCTGGCCAAAACATTGACTTTCCTGCTCCTCGGAAGCGGTCTAACCTGCTGTGCTTGTCCAGCTTCACATCCATTGAATCTGGCTTCCAGCATCTGCAGTCCTTACTGTCGCCTAGCATTAGGAACTTGTGTTCATTCACCTAACCAGGAGGTTTTTTTTAAAAAAAGTTCACTGCTTTCTCCAGGAGCGGTTTACAGAAACTAAATCAAGAAACTGCAGGAACCGCTGGACCAAGGCTGAGAGTTACTGCTCCAACTATAATAGTAATGTACAGACAGCGTCTTCAAGGGGAGCATGAACCACGCCAGAGCCTTCAACGAGGGAGGGCCAACACCAGGGAGATCAGCTATCCTAAACTCGAGAAAAGCAACCACTGAACTGATAAGTGGGGGGGGAGGGGGAGGGGGAGATAGGGAAGGGGACAGTGATAAAGAACCGGAGGCAGAATCTCCATCGCCCAAAATAAGGGTGGTCCCGGGAGGGGTGGCCAGTGGCCCCTCCACTGGAGGCTGAAGCAGGAGGGAAGCTAGGCCCGGGGAGGGAGGCCACCGCCATTCCACTTGAAAACGGTCCGTCCAGATTCCCCAAGGAGCCCGTGGGGATTCAGGCGGGTGTCTATCACTGTCCCCTTCCCTATTTCCCCCCCCCCCCCGCCGCCGGTGGTCTTAGCCAGGGGGGTCTATCACTGTCCCCTTCCCTATTTCCACCTCCACCTCCACCTCCACCTCCACCGCTGAGGGTCTAGGCCAGAGTGGCATGCAGCTCTGCTTTACCCGAGCTAGTTTAACGGTCTGTGTCCGCGGTCCCTCCATGATGGCGGCTGCGCTGCGAAAGGAGCACGTGGTCCGCGCGGCTCCTATTTATACACGGCCCAGGCCCGCTGGCCGGTCCTTGTAAACTACCCCCAGAACAGACAAACACATCTCACTATCACCATCACCAACAACAATCCCACTCCGTACTTCATATTCCAACAACCCGCGCCGATCCGCTGTTAACTTAGTTTAAATTCAAAATAACATTTTTTAAAAAAGCTGCCCGTTTCTCCCACAATTCCGTGCCCGCCCGAGAACTCAATAAAATAAATAGTTATTATTATTTGATTTATTACAATTTAATCTGACTGTTCTAATAAATAAACAAAGTCTCCGAATCCCTACATGAAAAAGAAACATTTTAATTTTCCAGTTGATCAATCTCCAGGTGTTCGCCCTTCACAACAAACATGGCGTCGGCGACCAAGATCATTCAGAGGCTGCGGAACTGGTTAGCTGGGGTGAGTCTGTAAATCTCAAATAATAACCTGTCCTGGCTGCTAGGTGAAAGGTATAATAATTATATAAGTGTGTACTAATATCAGATGTCTGCTGCGGAAGTAGTGGCTGTATGTAAATTAAAATTAAATGTCTCTTGCTAGCCTCTTCACAATAATCTCCATCCTCAATCACAAACAACGATTGCTGGAGAAATTCAGCTGGTCTGATAGTGTATGTGCAGAGAAAGCAGAGTTAATGTTTCTTCTGTTTCCCTCAACGATGGGGCAAGACCAGCATATTGCGAATGTTTCGGCCTTATATTTCGTAGCAGCAGCCTTCAGCTAGAGCTGCCTAGTGGATGATCCATCTCGGTCTCCTCTAGAAGTTCCTAGTATCACAGATTGCCAGGCTTCAGGCAATTTGATTCATTCCATATGCTATCAAGAAATGACTGGAGCCACTGACTATGTTCTGGTAATAGTACTGCAGACGTTTTCTCCTTACCCAAGCTATTCCAGCACAGCTACAATACTGTCATCCACTTGACATTGTGGATATTATCCAGGTGTGTCCTGTGCACAAAAAGGACAAACCCAACTCTGCAAATTACCAGCTTATTGGTTTACTCTTGGCCAACAGCAAAGTGGTGGAAGTGGCTGTGCTGTTAAGAGCACTTGGGGGGGGAAAAAAAAATTGCACATTGATGCAAAAGTAGCAATTAGTGGAAAATCTCAGCAGGCCTGGCAGCACGTGTGGAGAGAAATCAGAATTAATGTTTTGGGTTCAGTGACCCTTCTTCACATGGTGCTGCCAAACCTGCTGAGATTTTTCAGTAGAGTTTTGGACATGTACAGCACAGCAACAGACCGTTTGGTCCAACTCATCTATGCTGAACAGATATCCTAAATGAATCTAGTTCCATTTGCCATCATTTGACCCATATCCCTCTAAACCCTTCCTATTCATATACCCATCCAGATGCTTTTTTTAAATGTTGTAATTGTACCAGCCTCCTCCACTTCCTCTGGCAGCTTATTCCATACATGCACCATCCGCTGCATGAAAAAGTTGCCCCTTAGGTCCCTTTTATATCTTTCTACTCTCACCTTAAACCTATGCCCTCTAGTTTTGGACTCTCTCACCCTAGGTCTGTTGTCTATCTACCCTATCCATGTCCCTCATGATTTTATAAACCTCTCTAAGGTCACCCCTCAGTTTCCAATGTTCCAGGGAAAATAGCCCCATCCTATCCAGCCTTTCCTTATAGCTCAAACCCTCCAAATGTCCTTTTCTGAACCCTTTCAAGTTTTGCAACATTCTCCCTACAGGAGGGAGACCAGAACTGCGCACAGTATTCCAAAAGAGGCCTAACCAATATCCTGTATATTCCAAATCCTAGAGTCAATGTAATCATTTCCATTTTGGTTTGATTTCCAGCATCTGCAGTTCTTTGAGTTCTTTGATCTGTGCATTGATATTCAGTTTGCATTCTGCCAGACCTACTCAGCTTTTACTGTCATTACCTTGGTCCAAACATGGACCAAATAGCTGAACTATAGAGGTGAAGGGAGAGAAAGATACCTAGCCATCAAAGCAACATTCTGCCAAGAATGGCATTGTAGAAACCTAGCAAAACTAGAGTCAATGGGAACTAGTTGTAAAATCTCTTTGCTGGTTGGAGTCATACCTGGCACAAAGAAAAATGTTTATATTTGTTGAATGTTGATCATCTCAGCCCCAGGACATCACTACACAAGTTCCTCAGGATGGTGTTCTGGGCTTAATCATCGTTGGCTGCTTCACCAATGACTGTTTCTCCATCATTAAGTCAGAAGTCAAGATGTTTTCTGATGCTTGCATCATGTTCAGTACCATTTGGGATTTCTTGGATACAAAAGTGGTCCATGTGCATGTACAGCAACACCATTTTATATGGATGTATGTTGTAAATATATATTTACCCTTTTAAGTCAGTATTTCACATTTGAAATATATTGTGGATGTAGTTATCCCAGCCAATATTTATGTATACAGTTTAATATCGGCAGATATTGTAGACTTCTTTAAAAATTTGTTAATGTGATGTGGGCATTGTTGGCTATGCCAGCATTTATTGCCCTGGAGAAGTTAGTGGTGAAATATTGTCTTGAATGGCTGCAGTCATTGCAATATAGGGACACCCACTGTGCTGCTCGAAGGGAGTTACAGGATTTTGACGCGGTGATGCTGAAGGAACCAATGATATATTTCCAAGCCAGGATGGTGGTGCTATTCCATGCATCTGCTGCTGTTGTCCTCCTTGCTGGTGCACTTTGCGAATTTTGTTGAATAACTCAAGACTCTGGTATTCTGAGCCAGTAAGAAAATGCAGTGACCATTCATTGTTAGCTTATTGAGACAAGTCCCAGAGGACCAAAAGGCTGCTCTCTCATTAGAGGGATTCAGCTTGTAGTAGTTTAACCTGAGGATTACCATGCCTTGGGTGAGGGGAGACATTGAGAAGGAGGTTACCTTCATTGTAACCTCAGTTATGACAGAAGTTGAACTTATGCTGTTGGCATCACTCTGCATAGCAAACTAGCCATCCAGACAATTGAGCTAACCATTCCCCTAATTACCCCCTTCAATCACTTTGATCAAAAGTAGCTTGATAAGATGGTAATTGGCAAGTTGGATTTGTCCTGGTTTCTGTGGACAGGACATAACTAAGTAATCTTCCACATTGAGACAATGTTCAGCTGAATGTTAAGTTCTTAAGCTTTGTGTATTTGCACATCAGCATTGCAGCTATGTTATCAGTTGCAGTTCCTTGTTCCATGATTGATCTTTCTGGACTGTTGTGCATCATCAGCTCAACATTTGATGTGTGCATGAACACTTCTGCAACTGACTGTTGCATTTTTCTCTCTCCTGCAGAGGAATCTCCAAGAAAAGTTGCAGCTTCGATACACTGAAATTTCTCTCCGGTAACTGACAAAATAAACTAAGCTGTGATCGTCAGAGTGTAACCTTCTGTTAAATTTAATTATTTCTACTTGACAGGGGCATTCTGGGTATGGGAATTTTACTCTGTCTATCAAATATTAAACTGTTTAATCTGACAGTTTTCTAAGATATTCACTGTGTCTGTAACTATGTAATGTAGAGGAAACTTCATTTTGTTTCCAAGCCTTAGTTGTCCCTGACTTAGAAATTGGAGACTGCCAGTATTTCACAGCATCCCTTTTCCATATTCTGGGTATCAGTTAATCTTTCCTGCATCCCTTTTGGTGCCAGTATAGCTTTCTTGAGGGTTAGCGATCAAAAGAGGCATTAATTAGATTACTTTGAATTACGTAAGAACATGATGCAATAGGAAGGATAGAAAGGCTGGGGGGGGCAAGAGAGGAAGGGAGTGGCGATTTTGATGAGGGTAGACCGGTGGACGTGATCTACATGGACTTCAGTAAGGTGTTCGACAAGGTTCCTCATGGTAGCTGGTTAGCAAGTATAGATGACACAGAATACAGGGCGAACTCCTATTCGGGTACAGAACTGACTCAAAGGTAGAAGACAGAGGGTAGTGGTGGAGGATTGTTTTTCAGACTGGAGGCCTGTGACCAGCGGTGTGCCACAAGCATCAGTGCTGGATCAACTGCTCTGTCATTTATATAAATGATTTGTATGTGAATATAGGAGGTACGGTTAGTAAGTTTGCAGATGACACCAAAATTGGAGGTGTAGTGGACAGCAAAGAAGGTTGCCTCGGAGTACAACGGGATCTTGATCAGATGGGCCTGTGGGCCAAGGACTAGCAGATGGAGTTTAACTTAAATAAATGTAAGGTGCTGCATTTTGGAAAGGCAAATCAGAGCCGGACATATGCACTTAATGGTAAGGTCCTGGGGAGTGACACTGAACAAAGAGACTGTGGAGTGCATGTTCATAGTTCCTTGAAAGTGGAGTTGCAGGCAAACGGTAGTGAAGACGACAGTTGGTATGCTTGCCTTTATTGGTCAGTGCATTTGAGTATAGGAGTTGGGAGGACATGTTGCGGCTGTACAAAACATTGGTTAGGCCACTATTGAAATACTGCGTTCAACTCTGGTCTCCATGCTATAGGAAAGATGTTGTGAAACGAGAAAGGGTTCAGAGAATATTTATATGGATGTTGCAAGTGTTGGAGGGTTTGAGCTACTGGAAGAGAATGAATAGACTGGGGCTATTTTCCCTGGAGCGTCAGAGGCTGAAGGATGACCTTGGAGAGGTTTATAAAATCATGAGGGGCATGGATAGAGTGAATAGACAAGGTCTTTCCGCCAGATTGGGCAGAGTCCAAAACTAGAGAGCATAGGTTTAAGGTGAGAGGGGAAAGTTTTAAAAGGGACCCAAGGGGCAACATTTTACATGCATGGAATAAGCTGCCAGAAGAAATGGCAGATGCTGGTACCATTACAACATTTAAAAGGCATCTGGATGGGTATATGAATAAGAAGGGTTTAGAGGGATATGGGCCAAATGCTGGCAAATGGGACTAGATTTATTTAGGATATCTGGTTGGCAAGGATGAGTTGGACCAAAGGGTCTGTGTTGTATATCTCTATGATTCTATGTTTAAATAATATCTCAAGTATTTTGCGGTTTCTTTTTGCTGATGGTTGTAGAACAGGAATTTTTAGTGTCGAAAATAAGTCAATCGTTGGTAATAGAAATAGCAGAGAAAATGGGATTAGTTCCATGAATTTTGTTTTCAAGAAACCTTTCCCTCTTTTTCAAGACAGCTGTTATTCTGCTGCTTTGTAACTGCTTACAGTAACCTTTATGTCTGATCTCCTATGAAAGGATATAGGTTTTCTAGCTGCAGCTTTTAAGATATTGCATTCATTTATTAGTACCTTTTTGTAAAGACAGGATTTTGAAATACTCTGTTTCAGGACCCAACCTCCACCCAAGCTCCCGGTTGGCCCCAGCCATAAGTTTTCCGATAACTACTACTGTTTACGAGATGGTCGTCGAGAGACATTTCCACCTACTGTCATTTGGTCATCGCAGAAAGCGCTAGCGGCGGGAACACAAGCGGCCAGGTTAGTAGCAGCACGTTCCTTGTTCAGTTCAATAATGTGTAACACTGTTAGGAGTGACAGAGTGAAATGGGAATGGAAATAAACTATTTGCGTGTTTAAGCCTGTTCTGCCATTCCAAGTACTTAATCTGTACCTAAATTCATTTGTACCTTTTGTATTCTTGCATAGCTTGTCTGTCAAAAATCTATTCATTTCAATTTGAAAATGCCAGCCAAATCAACATCTTAGATTTTTTTTGGAGAGTGGCTACTAGATTGCCTCTGCCCTTTGAATGGGGGACAAACAAACTGTCCTTGTTTAACTCCTATATAGTTTAACTCCAGTTTTAACATTATGTCCTGGAAGAGGGCATATTTCTGTATTTTACCTCTTTTATTATTCATAAAACCTCAATTCAATCACAATGAGCCTTCTACATTCAGAATACAGAACAAGTTAATGTTTGTACTCAAATTTAACCCTCTAAGTTTGGTATTCTGGGAGTGTGCACATTCCTGAATTTTGAGGATCCTGAGGATCAGTGTTTAAAACTGAAGATGGTACTCTGTGGTTTCTGATTATTTTTCCTCTCTTCAGCCCTTCAAATAAGGACCAGCTTTCTATTAGACTATCTGATTACTTTTTATCCATATGCACCAATTTTACTGATCTATGCACACAATCTTAAATAAATCTTAGCTCCTCACAGCTCCGAGTGTACCTCCACTTTAGAAAAAACCTAATTTATCTTTCCCAAATTCAAAGTTAACTTGCACTGTTTCCATCTTAGTTTTAGCTGATCATATAGTGCATCTGAACAACTAAGGTCCAGACAGCCCCCATCACTGGTACTAGTGTCTCATATGCCCTGTCCTAACCATCTTCACTGCCACACTTCCCATTTTATCCCCCAGTTTCTCATCCAGCAAAAAGTATGCTTCAAGAAGATTTTGGAGGATATTTAGAGATCTTTTCACACGGAGTAAATAGCCTTTCTACCCATATACTTAATCTTGCATTGACATGCAGAGTAGTTAACCTGTCTCGCTCTCCATCTTTTAGTCTTGTGCCTGCAATCCAGAGTTGCTAACCCATAGTAAAGAATCCGCACAATGGGCAGACAGGAGCTGAAGTACAGAAAGTGCTGCTCACCATCCTAACTTGGCTGCATGATCTTGATTTTTCCTGTGTTCAGTCTGTCACTAAGTTAAAATTGCCTGCTTCTATATTTGACTCTTACTAAGTTGGTCCACAGACATCCTGCATGTGCTGAGTACTCGCTGATTAAATCTGTTTTCTACTATTAAAGAGCACAGCATGTTGGAAACATGAAAAAATACAGCATTTAAATAAGTCAAACAATTTTATTACTATTTTATGTCTCAACTACGCAGGAGCAAACTTCTTATTAACCGGTATCTATGGGACCAGAGGTGTGCCGGCTGATCAAATATTCCAATTGATCAGGAGGTCCACATAATCTATATAAACGCACACACTAAGTAATAGAAGCGGAATGCAGATAATATGCACATCACTTATACTTTATTTACAGCATAAATCACTTAAGTAATAACGCAACTTTTACCTTAAATAAAACTTAACAGCAGAGAGCCTTCTCACTCACACCCTCAACTGACTGTTCATACATCATGGATATTGCGATAATACAGTAAACTTCAGGTATATAATTTTGCCAGTTTATCAAGAGGGCCAGTTCATAAGGTGTCGGTTAAAACGGTTTGCTGTACTTGTATCAGATTCACACACTTATGGTTATGCATTCTATTATTCTGAAACTCAAAAACCAGTATTTCAGATTGGAGAGTTTAGTGTATGCTTGTACCCACTGGTGTATATGTGAGATGCTTTCTTTTTCATGTTCATGTTGACCATACAAATTAGAGTGCAGTAAAGTTTCTGATTTAGAAATTGGTTTTGAATTTATGGTAAGTGACCCTGGGAATTAAGATGTTTCCAATCTTGTTATGTGTTTCACAGTGCATCTGTTGAACTGAATTAATTTTCATCAACTGAATTCCTTCAGAATACAGTCAGTTGAACTTCCTTTCTTTGTTCTAGTGGCCAAGGCACTGAAGTAACTAAGGAAGTTAAGAAACCTGTCCTGCCTGGACAGCCAGTCAAGTTGAAGCTTTCCATGGATCAGCCATACCTGTGACTGGAGGATGATTGGATGAGATTAACATTAACTCTAACCTTTTATGGCGTGCCGGCAACGGAAAGGAGTTTAAAGTACTGAGGAAATAATCCCTGGAGCTACAGCATTGTATAGCCAGATTGGAACTCTGAGTTTCTGTTGCATTTTGGGATTTAATGACGACTCCTCTAATGTAAATCAGCTCAGTAAATATCCAAGTTAATAAAGCACATGGTGTTTTGTGCATTTTTTTTTTAAAAGGTATCATACATCATCTGCATCTTGGAGCCAATAGCATATCATTTCTTGTTACTGGACCCTTTCTCTGCTACTTAGATGGGTTATAAAGTATTTTATATTTTGTTAGTTTCATTATCTGGAATGTTAATCTTTGAGCATTTGTAATGTTTTTAGTTTTTATTACTTTTTAAAAAGTAATAAACTGTAAATGCCAGCTATTGCATCTTGGAATTTGCAGGCCAGTTGTGCTCCTTGCAATTGATTTGCTCCCTTCAGAGTATTGGCTGAGGCTTGTAGTGCTCGTGCTGAGATTGAAATGAATAATCATCTGCAGGTCTCTAAATGGCTACAGAACGATGGATTTTCACATGGTTCAATACTTTGTAGCGATTACTGAGGGGAGGTGTAGCATAGTGATAATGTCACCAGACTAATAATTGAATTCAAATAATAACAATAGTTTAAATAATTGAATTACACAAAAAAGTCTGGAACTAAAAGCTAGTCTAATGATGATCATATCGACTTGTTCTAAAAACGATACCCGTCTGGTTCATTAGTGTCCTTTTTAGAGAAGGAAATCTGTCATCGTTATCCAATCTGGCCTGCATGTGACTCCACCCACAGCAATTTGGTTAATTCTTGGTTAACTGACCTCTGAAATGGACTTGGTTTGCCACTCAGTTCAAAGGCACTTAAGAATGGAGAATAAATGCTGGTACAGCCAGTGGCACCCACATCATATGAATGAATTTTTAACAAACATTGTACCAGAATAACCACACCACACTAGCTGTGAAGTCTTGGGCTAAGTAAACTAGTTTACTGTTTAGTTTTATGACCCAACGTCTGGTACAATGGACACATTATTTGCTCAGATTTTCTTTTATGCAAGAATTCAGCTGAATTTGTTTCATAGATGTGGAAGAGACAATTTTTACTTTTTGGTTACTTAATGAAGTTAGATTAAAAAGTAGCTTGATAGTTTAAGACTAAAGTGGAATAAAAGTAAATAAATCAACAAAGCCAGATATGAAATTGAGAAAGAGCGATAACTTATGAAGTCCCTAATAGTTTATTTAAATTTTTTTGGGGATATTTTGATCAGTGTCAAGCTTTTAGTTCTGGATTATTCTTCCATTCCTGTTTAGAAAGGAACATAAAAACATTAAAAAAAAAGGGGGCTGGAGTAGGCCATTTGGCCCTGTAGAGAATGCATCACCATTCAATACCATCATGGTTGATCATGCAATCTCAGTAGCCCATTCCTGCCCTATCTCTATTCCCCTTGATCCCTTTATCTGCAAGGGCCACATCCAGCTTCATCTTGAATGTATCTAATGAACTGGCCCCAACAGCTTCCTGTGGGAGAAAATTCCACAGGTTCACAATTCTGAGTGAAGAAATTCTTCCTCCTCTCAGTCCTGAATGGCCTTCCCCCTTATTCTCATACAGTGACCCCTAGGTCTGGACTTCCCCAACATCAGCTTCCTCTCTCATTCTTCTAAATTTCAGTGAATACAAGTCCAATCTATCTAGTCTTTCCTCGTATGTCAGTCCTGCTATCCTGGGAATCAGACTGGTGAGCCTTCGCTGTAGTTCCTCAATGTCCTTCCTCAGACCAGGAAATCAAAACTGTCACAAATTAATGCTTTGGCAATGCGATTATAAAACAGCATGGAAGGAGGCTGTTGAACCTATCATGTCTGCTAGCCTCTGAAGGAGCAGTTCACTTAATATCAGTCCCTAGTATTTTCCCTGTCACCTTGCAAATTCTTCCTTTCAAAGAATTGTCCAGTTTCCTTTGGAAAGCCCCAATGTACCCTGCCACCGCCACTCTCATTGGTATTATGTTCCAAATCTTAACACACTGCCTTTAGATCTGCTTTTACGTTAACTGCCAGTCTCTTCTCATTACTGTCTGTTTGTGTCACTTGCATTTCAGTTCCCCTCAAATCTTTAATATTCAACCTGGTTCTCAATTGGATAACCTACCTGATCTCTTAATATATATTTTCTCTTGTCATCTGGTGAAATCTGGAATTTTTTTTTTGTCCCATCTTTCCCCTTTATGGGAATGTACCATGACTGTGTACTTGAATGCCTCTTAAAATTAGTTCATTGTTCAGTTTATTATGTCTGCTAACCTTCAATTGCATTTTCTCAGGGAACAGACCTCTTCTTATCCCATTTGAATTATTCTTACTTTAGATTGCCCTTTGCCATTTTCCATATCTAGGATAACCTTGTAACATAATAATCATTATTTACTAAATGTTCCTCCACTGACCCTCGGCTCACCTCATTCCCAAGATCCCAGTTTAGTGGTGCCTTCTTTCTCGAATAAAGGCAAACTACTGTGGATACTGGCTAGTTATATCCCAGGCTGCTGTGGGAGATGAGGGAAGAATTATAGGTGCCCTGACCCAAATTTTTATATCATCTCTGTCCACAGGAGAGGTGCCTGAGGACTGTGAATGTGGTTCCACTTGACAAGAAGGGTGGTAGTGCTAGACCAGGGAACGATAGACCGGTGAATCTAACTTCACTGATAGGGAAACTATTGGAGAAAATAGTGAAGGCAAAAATTAAGCTCCATTTGGAGAGGCATGGATAGATAGTGTTGCTTTGTCAGAAGGAGGTCGTGTCTCACAAATTTGTGGAATTTATTTGGTGATCGAGTGTTTGAATGAGGATAGGGCAGTTGATGTAGTTTATATGGATTTCAGCAAGGTCTTTGACAAGGTGCCACATAGAAACTGATCATGAAGACAAAAACACATAGAATACAGGCTAACTTGACAAAATTGATGTAAAATTGGCTCAGTGATGGGAGGCAGGAGGTGGTGGTGGAAGACTGAGTGACTGGAGCCTGGTGTCCATTGGCATACCACAAGGATTAATGCAGAGCCCCTTGTTCATGGTATTCAGAAACGACTTGGATAAAATGTAAGAGGGATGATAAGTAAGTTTATGGATAACAAAGATTGGCCAGTTTGTTGACAGGAGGAAGGTTACTGGAGGGTATAAATGTATTGGTCAGATGTGCTGATCAATGTCAGATAGAATTTAAACCTGGTAAATGTGAGGTGAAGCACTTTGGAAGAAGAAACAAGACAAGGGTGCACTCAGTGAGTGGCAAGACACTAGGAAGCTGAGGGACCTTGGTGTGCTTGCCCACAGATCCCTGAAGGTGGCAGGACAGGTAATTAGGGTAGTTAAGACATATGAGATGCTTGCCATTATCAGTTATGGCATAGATTATTAGAGCAGAGAGGTCATGTTAAAGCTGTACAGAACTTTGTTTAGGTGATAGCTGGAGTACTATGTGCAGTTCTGTTTGCTACATGATAGGAACGATGTAACTGTACTAGAGACAGTGCAAAGGAAATTCACCAGGGAAGTTGTCTAGTTGGAACGTTCCAATCATGAAGAGAGGCTGGATAAGCTTAGGTTGTTTTCTTTAGAGCAGAGACGGTTAAGGGAGTACTTGATGATAGAGGTCCATAAAATTATGAGGGGCATGGACAAGATGAATGGAAAGCAGATATTTCTCCATAGTTGAAGGATCAATAACAAGAGGGCATAATTTTAAAGTGAAAGACAGGAGATTTAGAGGAGTTTTAAGAAGATGCCTTTTTACCCAGAGGGGCTGAGGGTCTGGAATGCACTGCCTGGGAGGGTAGTTGAGGTTTGAAACCTCCCATCCTTTTTAAAAAGTACTTGGAAGAGCACGTGAGGTGTCACAACATTCGAGGCTATGGGCCTAGTTTGGAAAAGTGAGACTGGTGTAGGCAGTATATTTTTGGAGGTACAGACTTGATGGGCCAAAGGGTCTGTTCTGTGTCTTTCTGACAAGGCAGCTCTCCTTCCATGCTAACCCTTTGATGATGTACAAGCATGACACCGGAATATAGAGGTTATGACAATCTGGTAAAAGGAGCAGAGTGGGACGCTTTAAAGTGCTTGATACAGTAGACTTACCAACGATGTTCCAATTATGGAAAAGTCTAAAATGAGGGGTCATAAATGTCCAAAAATTGCTAATAGATTCAATAAGCAGTTAGGAAAAACCTCCACTCAGAAAATATGTATTTTATTGGTGCTCAGGGCTAAATGTATCAACAATTTTGATGGATTTAAAAACCTGGAGTATTATAAGAAGCATTACAGCATTTGATATTACTATGACACTGCAATCTACATGATAGACTCCAATGACCTTTTCCAGTAATAACATTGCTGTGATTTGCTGTTTATTACGAAAGCATGAGCATTTAACATGCTCTTATGAAAGTCTATTGTCTGTTATTGTGGAAGAAACTTGATACCATTTGAAGTAAATGTGTTAATATTTGTATAATGGAGGACATGCCACTAGTATAACTGTTTTAGAAACCACAAGTTATAAACAGTAATTTTAGGATATTTACAAGCTCTAGTGTGAGAAATAAAGTGTGCAGTACCATATCTCTACCAACAGATGATGCTGCCACATCAATCTTGCATCTGAAATGATGGGGTCAATAACTGATATTTTCCTGCCTGTTCAGAGATATTATTACAGACCTCAGGAGCAGACATGACTTTAACCTGGGCCTCCTGGCTCAGAGATTGGGACACTACACCACAGGAGCTATAATGGGGTTAACATATATATGAAATGGTGCAGATGCATAAGTTTGCAAATTATCACTTTGTTGTGCTATTCTTTGATTCTGTGAGATTTTAGCTACCTGAGGATCATGACGATGTAAAGACTTGTTATATGTTTCTAATACTATTAGCAATGATTTAGGAAAGAGCCCTCACACAGAGTGCTTATTTGGGACTCCATGTGGGGACAGTCATGTACCTGAGAGGTCCAGACAGCCATTAAGGGTCAGGAATTGAAAAGTGTACAAATGTGATCTGTACAGAAAATCCATCCATGCAGAGCCAAATAGCGTGGAGATAATTTGTAGAGATTGCTGGGGAGATTTTGGGACTT